CGCAGGGAGCAGGGGCGGGCGGGCAGCGGGGCGGGCGCGGGGAGGCTGCGGCTGCAGCCCGGCCACAGCGGCTGCACCCAGAGCGGGCAGCGGGGCCGGGGGCTCGGTGGTCCCCGGGGCAGGGGAGCTGCCGGGTCAGCCCTGCTGCAAAGGTACAGAAGCACCGTAAAAACCGGCAGAAGTAACACAAAAAAGAGGGGAAATTAATAAAAGAGCAGAAGCGTTGGCGGGAGCGGGGGGGCGGCGCGGGAGCCCTCGTGGTGCCGAACCCCCCGGCTCGTCCCAGGGCACGACCCTCCCGGAGCTGCCCCTCCCCAGCTGTGAGCACCCTGGCCCGTCTCTGCTTCCCTTTTCGGGCAGAAAAGTGGAATTTAGGCTTTCTCCCACATGAGCTGGGCAAACTGAAGTCGGACTCAGACCCTGGGCAGACGACGGTCTCAGAGGGCGCTGGGCCCTCCGAGGGTTCCCTCTGCACCTTCCTGCAGCACCTCCAGCCCAAATTACACTACAGTCCAGTGATACCGGGCAAGGGGCCCTCAGAAAAACTCCTGAAGGCAGCACGGTTCTCATGGGAATGGCAGGATGGGGATGTGGTGGTGGCTGCGGAGATGCTCAACATCCTCTCCTGCTTTCCCTCTCCCGGGGATGCTGAACATCCTCTCCTGCTGCCCCTGGACTCTGCTCCTCTCCCGGGGATGCTGAGCATCCTCTCCTGCTGCCCCTGGACTCTGCTCCTCTCCCGCGGATGCTGACCATCCTCTCCCGCATCGTGAGGTTGCTTCCTGCTGGCCTCACTCGAGGGGAGGATGCCCGGCTTGGGGACACAGCGTGCCAGTGGACTTACCTTATCCGGTCGGCTGCCGAGGGAAAGCCGAAGCTGGTGGGAGGCGGGGAGGGCGTTGCTGAAATCTCCGGTGACTGCTCGGGAATGGGCGAGTGGGGCGTGGGGGGGAGCTCGGCGGGCGGGGCCGGGGGCTGCGCGGCCGGAGGGGCCGAGGTCGCCTTGCGCCCCGCTGAGGTGCCTCTGCGAGCCACCCACGAGGTGTCCATCACCCTGACGCCCATGCTGGGGACACAGAGATGGGGGTGAGCGCCCGTCCGGAGGGAGGGGACTGCCAGCACCCCCTCGCCACTCCTTCGGGGTCTCTAAAAGCGCCTCTTCCACCGGGAAACTGCTGGGAGCGAAACTAGAGGGCAATAGGACAGGGGTGGCAGCATGGGATGGGTTTGTGTCACCCACCAGCCACCTCTCCCTTCCCCAAGAACCAGCAGGCAGCAGCACCCACCCAGCACTCACTCAGCACCTTCCCAGCACCCTGCAGAGGATACAGTACCTTTGGATTTTCCTAAGGCTGCATGGGCAGAAACAAACGATTATTAATGTGAAAACCCCCTAAAACTGGGCAGTGTACAGGGAGAGAGGTCACAGCTGGGCAAAGGAGCTGCACGGCTGAGGGGCTTCAAGAGTGGGGGCAGGGCGGCTGAGCACAGACCAGGCTATGCCAGTGGTGGGGCAGTTTGGGATATCTTCTGGAAATGAGGACATTTTTGGGATGGGCAGTCCTGGGGTGTTTTCTGGAGCCCACTTGACTGTTTGAGGTCCCTGTGAGGTGTCATGGAGGGGAGACATGCACAAGCTGGAAATGGGGAGCTTTCCCCTGGAGCAAATGCTGCAGACCTTGAGGATACCAGGACACCTGTCTCTGGCATGGCACAGCCCCATTGTCACCCCATGGGCCACCCCACTCCCATCTGCAGTGGGCTGGGGGCAGGTCTGTGTTCACCTGAGCACCCCCAGGAGCCTGGCATGGAAAGCAGGGGGTCCCTCCACTCTGGGACCACCCAACCTCCACCAGCTCAGTGCCAGTCTCTCCAAGGTGATGCTGAACATCCTTTCCTGCTGCCTCCAGGATGCTGCTCCTATTCCTCTCCTGCTGTCCCTGGGATGCCCCTCCCTCTCCCCAAGCCCAGGAGGGTCCCTACCCATCCTTCTTGTAGAACTCCAGCATCATGTTGTCGGTGGCCACGCTGAGGGGCCGCCGGGCCTGGTCGTGCTGCCGGCGCTCGCCGTGCTCCATGTCTGGCGAGGGCATGGAGCTGTAGTTGGCGTTGTGGTTCACGTGCAGGGGGCTGCCGTAGTTCCCCGTCACGTTGAACTCGATGTCTGGGGGACAGAGGATGTTGGAAGTGGTGGGACTGGAGGGGTTGGCACTGCAGGGATGCTCAGGGGATGCTGCAGAATCTGGGTTGGGCTCAGTGCTGTGCTGAGTGTGGCCAGAGCCCCACCTGAGCTCCAGCAAACAGAGGGGGCTGGCAAAACCAGACCTGGGAGCCCTGAGCCCCCTCCCCAGGAGGTGCCAGGAAGCCCAGCTGTCTCCAGGGTCGCGGGCACACCCTACCTCCCGGGAAGAACCAGTCTGCGTGCTGGATGAGTGGCTCGATGATGCCCACGATCTGCAGCGACAGCGTCGTCATCATCTCCGTCATATTCCTGCAAGGGAGAGGCAGCTCAGCAACCCCTGCAGGCCAGCAGAGCCCCCAGCAGGATTCCCAGCAGGATTCCCAACAGGGCTCCCAGCAGGGCTCCCAGAGGATTCCAGCAGGATTCCCAGCAGGATTCCCAGCAGGGTTCACAGCAGGGTTGCCAGCAGGGTTCCCAGCAGGGCTCCCAGCAGGGTTCCCAGCAGAGCTCCCAGCAGGATGTGCCCCTCAGCCCTCACCCAGTGCTCACCCCTCGGCCTGTGGCCACAGCAGGTTGGGCCCCAGCACGATGGCCACGTTGCTTGGGGTCATTTTGTTCATATCTTGGTACTCGGTCAGCTTGGCCAGGAATTTAATGACATACCTGGAGAGCAGATCCCAAACCTATCAGTGCATGGGTCACACACTCTGTGTCCCCTCCCCATGTCCTGCTGGCCCCAGGCTCACCTGATGTTGTTGTAGTTGGCTTTAGGCAGCTTCTCGCAGGCGTTCCAGAGAGCCTGCAGCCGTTTCTCTTGTTCTGGGATGCTGCAGGAAGGTGGGAGAGGGCTTTATCCCCCATTCCCACCCTGCCCTGGGGCTGAGGACCCTGCCAGCCCCACCCTTAGGGACCCTTTGAGACCCTCAGTCTGCCAGCAACATTATGGAAGTAAATTAAGCCCCAAAACCTGTCCCAAGGAGAAGGAAACCCTTTAGATGCTGGACCACTCCATGGCTCTCATAGACCAGAGGAAACAGCCCAAATGCAGTGAACTGTGCCAGAAAAAACCCAAACCATCCATGTGGACCCAGGCTGTCCCCACCCATGTCAGGAGGAATGGTGGGATGCCCCAGACTCACTTGGAGGCCTGGATCCACTCCTCGTACAGCTCGAATGTCATGAGGGGCTCGGGCAGCTCCCGCAGGTAGGACTTGAGGGCTCCTGTGGCACACAGGGGACACAGGGGTTGGCACTGCGGGTGCCATCGACTGTTGGGCACCAAGTGGTTTTGCTCCTGGGCACTTGGACTCACATCCCCCCCAGCCTTCCCACCCACCACACCCCAGAGCACCTGCTGGTCTTCCCGACTTGGAGCAGCCTGTGGCACCCCCAGCACTCACCTTGTGGTCCCTGCCAGCACCTTCTCAGTTCCCTTCCCCAGGTGTTTTCCCAGGTCTCTATCACTCGTTTTTGCCTGGGACATTCCCAGCTCCCTGTGCTGGGAGCAGGTTCCTATTGGGAAGCCAGAGCTTAATCCCCTGCCTGCCAGAGCCCCCATTCCCAGAGGGGAGCAGAGAGGCCATGGAGACTCAGGCAGTGCTCCAGAACAGCCCCATTGGCTTGGATCTGTGCTTGGGGAGGGAATTCTCCCCAGAAGAGGTGAGAGAAGATGGCAAGTTTGACGTTCACATGAATCTTCCTGACCACTCACTGCTCCTGCAGTGATCCCCCAATCTGTGCCACCCTCATTAGTGCCATCCTCATTAGTGTGACTGGATGATGGCTGTTGCATCCTGTGTTCATCTCCAGCCTGGCCTGGTCCCTCTGGATGGCAGCACCTCTCTGGGGCAGCCACTGTCCCCAGGCTGTGTCACCTGCCTGCTCACCGAAGGGACAACCAACCCCATCAGCCAGGTCATTAAAAAATGACAAAATTAATTGAACAAAATCAGACCCAGCATCAACCCCTGGACTGCACCACTGGTTCCTGGCCTCCAGCTGGACTTGGTGCCACTGATCCCCCTCAGGGTGCCCTTGGAGGGTGCCTGGAGAGGCCACCCCAACCTGAGGAGCCCCACCTGCTATGGCATGGGGGTCAGCTGAATACTCCTGCACGTCCACCACACAGCAATCCAGGGCAGCCTTGAGCTTCTTCAGCTTGGAAGCTGAGGGAGCCACTCGGAAGAGACCCTGAGCAGAGGAACAGAGAGTGTTGGACAAGGCTTGGAGCTGGGATGTCCCTGGAGACTCCCAGTTCCTCACCCTGGCCCTGAGGACACCCGAGGCCTCTTCCGTCATGCCCAGCAAGGGTGGGACGCAGGATCCACCTCCTCCTGCATCCCCCATCCCAGCTGGGACACACCTCCTCCTGCATCCCACATTCCAACAGGGACCCACCCACCTCCTCCTGCATCCCCCATCCCAGCTGGGACACACCTCCTCCTGCATCCCACATTCCAACAGGGACCCACCCACCTCCTCCTGCATCCCCCATCCCAGCTGGGACACACCTCCTCCTGCATCCCACATTCCAACAGGGACCCACCCACCTCCTCCTGCATCCCCCATCCCAGCTGGGACACACCTCCTCCTGCATCCCACATTCCAACAGGGACCCACCCACCTCCTCCTGCATCCCCCATCCCAGCTGGGACACACCTCCTCCTGCATCCCACATTCCAGCAGCATGGTCACGCAGGCCTCCACCGGGAAGGCGATCTCCCGCCCGCTGACAGCCAGGTGCTCCTCCAGGGGCTTCCCAAAGGAGGGTTTCTCCATCCACGCCTCTGTGACGGGCAGAGAGGGCAGAGGAGAGGGAGGGTGGTGCCAGATCCAGCAGCCCCACCCCAAAAGGCCCTTGGGTCACGGTTTTGGCAGCAAAATACTCGGTGTGGGTCTTGCTAGAAGAACAGGACCCTGCACCTCTGGCCTGGGCAGCTTGGGAAGTGCTTTTGAAAGGTGTAATCCAAACAAAATGTTTTCCAGCCATCACGGAATTTCAAAGGAGCTGGATAACATTTTCCACAGGGGTAACAACAGGACGGAGTGGGATGGCCCTGGGGTCACTCATGCTGCTGGGCTCTGGGGGCACTCACCCTGCTGGGCTTTGATCTGTGGCAGGAAGTTCTGCAGGAGCGCCAGGGATTTGCGATGGTACTCGGCCTGCACCTCGATCAGCTGCGGGGACACGGCATGGGGGTCACAGCACTGCCAGGGACAGGGACAGCCTTGGGGGTGGGTGGCACTTACAGTTTGGAAATAGTTTGCATAGTCGACTTCTTTGGCCACAAAATTGTACATGTCAGCCGAGAGTTGGTCCTGTGGGGGGCAGAGGATCCATCACTGTCCCTCCCCTGCTGCCCTGGTGCCACAGCACGGCCCTTCCTTGCCACCAGGAGGAAGCAGCTCAGTCCCAGAGGGAGCCAGAGTGGCACAGGGTTAAGGTTAGGGTGTTAGGGGAGGTTCAGGAGCCTCCCCCACTGCAGTCTGAGCAGGGTCCAGGTCCCCCCAAAGTGCACAAAGAGATTGGACTCCCTCTTATCCCATGGAAAGGGGGTGAATGACGGAAATGATGGAAATAAACCCAGCATAGAGAAGGTGGGGAAATGTCTCTAACAGTGCCAGGGCTGCATGCACCCAGTGCTAAGCTCTGCCAGGACAGGTTCCCAGGGAATGGGAGCCCCTCCGGCTCTGTGGGATGTAGAGGAAGGGGACAGAGTAACTGGGGACGCCCTGCTGTGGGGAGCATCACCCACAGCCACTGCACTGCCTTTGGAGACCAGCCAGAGGAGGGGTCAGCACAGGCAGGGGCGGGAGAAAGATGCAGAGAAGGGTGAGAGGAGAGGCTGCAGCTTTCCCCAGAGTCTGGGAGCCCACAGAGCCCCCTCAGGCACGAGGAGCCCCAGTACCCTGCAGATCTCCACTCTGTTGGCTGCCTCCTCCATCTCCTCCCTGAGAGCGTCGGCTTTGGCGCCCGAGGGCTGCAGGTTGCTGGCCAGACCCGAGGACTTCACCGACTGCTGCCACCTGCGGGAGGGACAGGGGCCACTCAGAGTAGTGACCGCATCCCAGAGGCCCTGCAGGGCCACCACAGTCCCCAGGGCTGAGCAGCACGGAGATGATTCCAGTGCAGCTGGGATTTAGCACCCATCCCCACAGCGCTGCACACAGTGGGCTCCAGGGAAGGAATTCTTTTAGGCAGGATAAGGAGACACATCCAGGTGGGAAGAAAGAGGAAGGGAATGGGACAGCCTGGACATGATGCTGAGGACTGTGAACACCTCTCCTAGGACATGCTGGAGTGGGAGCTTGGACAATTCAATGGTGTCATGGTGCAATCCCCAGTCATCCCTGCTCCCCTGAGTGCCACTGCAGGGGCAGGAGCACCCAGGTCTTTGCATCAGAACCCACCAAGACAGGGAAAAGGGTACAAAATAATCCCTTCTGCTGGAAAAAAAATACACTTTTGCTGCAGAGTGCAGGCAAGAAAAGGAATCCACGGATCCTGCGGACAGGGGCAGGAATCGTGGCTCATTGCAGAGCTTGACTCAAGGCCCACAGAGACACAGCCAGGACTTGTCCCAAGGGAACTGTGGTGCCAGGGGCCCAGGAGCTGCTCTCCTGAGAGCTACCCATGGCTCGGGAATGTTTATTTCTTATAAAGCACTTGAAGGCACTTCGTACCTCGTCCTGGAGGAGTCCATGTCCAGCACGAGCTTTGCTAAGTGCTTCCTCTGCTTTTGGATATTTGGGATTTCCACCTGCAGCAACACACAAAACAGGAGGAGGTGAACAGCCCTGGGGAAGTGTCCAGGGTCAGGTCACACACTGGGGTTTTGGGCTGGGGCAAGCTGGGTGGGTAAGCTCCTTCACTTAACATCCTCAGGGAGATGGCCCAGCTGATCCCTCCTGCGTGTCCCACCCAGACTGTGCCACAACTGGACAGCCCCAGCTCCAGAACCCGAGAGAAACCGCCTTGGGCTGGATGAGGGCAGGAAAAGGGTTCTGGAAGATGGCAGGGCACCCCAGGCACCCCAGCTCACCTCAGCCAGCACAAAGAGTGGCTCGATGACGTCCCTCTCCAGCTGCAGCTCGAAGTGGATCAGCTCCTGCGCCAGTTTGTCCTCAGCCTCCCCACACAGCCGCAGCATCTTCCTGCAGGGACAGGGACATCACTGCACCCAGCACGGGGACAGGGACAGGGTCACGCTGGGGACAGGGACATCACTGCACCCAGCACGGGGACAGCGACACGCTGGGGCTGGGGACAGGGACAGGGACATCACTGCATCCAGCACGGGGACAGGGACAGGCTGAGGCTGGGGACAGGGGGCCTGTCCTGCACCCAGCACCCCCGGGGCTCCAGGAGTGGCACAGGGCAGCCCCTCCTTGGAACAGGGTGGAGGGAGGGCAGCAGCCAAGGGGCCGTGGGCAACCAGGGTGTCAGGAAAGCTCTTTCCTTAAGTATTGCACTTATAATGATGCAATAATAATTAAAATATTATATAATTATATTATGACATATTATTAGCTATATAATTATGTTATATATTAATATTATGTTATTTATTAGTATTATATTATATATTATTATTAGGCCTGTCTTCAAACTTTATTGTATGGAAATTGTATGGACTTTAAAAATCTATATAAATAAATAAATAAATATCTAAAATATATAAATAATAAACCATATGTAAATATAGAAATATTCGTAAAACATATGTAACTACATAAATTATAATACAGAAATATATAACATGTACAAATAAAAATGTATTAATAAGGCTAAATCACATATAAGTATATAACTAGTATAACTCAAATATAAATATATAACATACATAAAAATGGATATAAAAATAAAGATACGTGTCTATATATGCAGATTACATTGTATGATCACAGAACCCCCATACAAGGAGGAGAATTAACCACCGAGATTCCCCCAGCCCCTCCAACACAGCAGTGAATCCCCTGATACCTGGCACTGGAGACAAGGAACAGCAGCACTTCCAGCACATCCCCAGCACATTCCCAGCAGCATTCCCAGCACATTCCAAGCAGCATTCCCAGCACATTCCCAGAAGCATTTCCAGCACATTTCCAGAACATTCCCAGCCCCCAGCATCCCCAGCAGTGCAGGACCCGGGGCAGCCCCAGCCCCCTACCCCAGCAGGGAGTCGTCCCCCAGCACGGCCGATCCCTCCATCAGACACTGCGCCAGCGTTGTCAGTGGCAGCTTCTTCTGCAAAGAGAGGGATTGCGTTCCTCCCTGGATCCCTGGATCCCCCTGGATTCCCGGATCCCCCAGATCCCTGGATCCCAGAGCCCTCAGCCCTGCCGCCCTCACCGAGCGCTTGTCGGCGTCCAGGCCCTGCTGGCCCTGCAGACAGGCTGTCAGCTTCTTATGGGTGCTGTGGGACACCTGCTTCACCAGCTCCAGCCGCTTCTCCACCTGCAGGAGCGATGGAGCACATCACCCGGGGATCCCATCACC